AACCCCATCTCTTTCCCCCCTCTGCCCCAAACCCTGCCACATCCTCACTTCCTCCTGGAGCCTCTGTACACTGCAAAACAAGGGGCTGGGAGGGGGAGGAGTGGATCAGCAGGGCCACCGGTGGGTGGGAGGCACTGGGACAATGGGGGCAGAGAGGGGAGCTTGGCTGCTGATGGGTGCTGGGCACCCACTAAGTCCCTGTGGGTGCTTCAGTCCCCCCTCTGCCCCAAACCCTGCCACATCCTCACTTCCTCCTGGAGCCTCTGTACACTGCAAAACAAGGGGCTGGGAGGGGGAGGAGTGGATCAGCAGGGCCACCGGTGGGTGGGAGGCACTGGGACAATGGGGGCAGAGAGGGGAGCTTGGCTGCTGATGGGTGCTGGGCACCCACTAAGTCCCTGTGGGTGCTTCAGCCCCAGAGCACCCACGGTATCAGGATCTAGGTAAGGGCAGCCAAGAAGTTTGCCCACAGCCAAGCAGGCTTCCTGGGGGGAAACTCTTGGAGGAGCTGGCTGGTTTTCCGAGCAAGGACCATACCTGCCTAGGTAGTTTGGCCCAGAGCAAAGATATTTAGGTGCCTAACAACAGGCGTCTGAAGCTCTGAGTCTCCTCCGAGAGAGGAGTGATGTGGAGACCGGTTGACTTGGTACCTCCAGCTCTTTCCCAGTAGAGACATCGAGGCTCTGCACATGGGCCAGGCCATGGCAGACCCTGCTGCACTGGAAGTTGAGCCAGCCTTGAAAAATGCAGGGGAGTTGACAGTAAATTGTTCCCCAGGCTCCCACTGATCACGTGAGGAAGGTGAGTGGCTCTCGGCCCAGTGGTTCCTTGAACTAATTAGAAGCTCCAGGTCCAGCTGGTGTCTCAGCACTTTGCTGCCTGCACACAAATCCAGTACTAATCACTGTATGGCATGGAGAGATTAGGTAGGCTGGCAGGAAGCCCAGGCCTGCTGTGCAGCAAGGAGAGCCAGGCTGTGGGGACAGGGTCTGTGCAAGGAGGTATGGCTAACTGGGGGCCACCTTAGACAGGGCAGCCATCTCGGGGAAGAGTGGGACAGCAATGGGGGGGTCTGCTTTGCTCACTGCCAGGCCAGCCCTGAACCAGGCGACAGCTGTGGAGGGTGACTCCAGTCATGTGGAGCAGGGGCTGCTTTTTAGGGCCTTCTGAGCTGCAGTGTGGCAGGTGCACAGAGTGGCAAGCTGTTCACAGCCCTAGAGGGTCCTGTCTGTATGTGGCAGGAGCGCCATGGCCCAGCCCATGGGATACCCGCTAGCACTGGCAGGGCAGCACGGGATGCAGGCGTGAGAGATGCAGGAATGTGGCTGTGAGAGATGCGGGTGTGAGGGAGGCAGGCATGAGAGATGCAGGGATGCGGGTATGAGGGAGGCGGGGTGTGAGAGATGCGGGTGTGAGGGATGCATGGGATGCGGGTGTGCGGGAAGCAGGTGTGAGGGATGTATGGGATTCGGGTGTGAGGGAGGCGGGCATGAGAGATGCAGGGATGCAGGTGTGAGGGAGGCGGGCATGAGAGATGCAGGGATGCTAGTGTGAGGGAGGTGGGGTGTGAGAGATGCGGTTGTGAGGGATGCATGGGATGCAGTTGTGAGGGAGGCGGGTGTGAGGGATGTATGGGATGTGGGTGTGAGGGAGGCGGGTGTGAGGGATGTATGGGATGTGGGTGTGAGGGAGGCGGGGATGCAGGTATGAGGGAGACGGGTGTGAGGGATGCGGGTGTGAGAGATGCAGGTGTGAGGGATGTATGGGATGCGGGTGTGAGGCAGGCAGGCATGAGAGATGCAGAGATGCGGGTGTGAGGGAGGCGGGTGTGAGGGATGTGGGTGTGAGAGATGCAGGTGTGAGTGATGTATGGGATGCAGGTGTGTAGGAGGCAGGCATGAGAGATGCAGGGATGCTAGTGTGAGGGAGGTGGGGTGTGAGAGATGCAGGTGTGAGGGAGGCGGGTGTGAGGGATGCGGGTGTGAGACGTGCGGGTGTGAGGAATACATGGGAGACGGGTGTCAGGGAGGCGGGTGTGAGGGATACGTGGGAGACGGGTGTGACGGAGGCAGAGTGTGAGAGATGCAGGGGTGAGAGATGCAGGTGTGAGGGATGCAGGTGTGAGAGATGCAGGGGTGAGAGATGCAGGTGTGAGGGATGCAGGTGTGAGAGATGCAGGGGTGAGAGATGCAGGTGTGAGGGATGCAGGTGTGAGAGATGCAGGGGTGAGAGATGCAGGTGTGAGGGATGCAGGTGTGAGAGATGCAGGGGTGAGAGATGCAGGTGTGAGGGATGCATTGGATGCGGGTGTGAGGGAGGCGGGTGTGAGGGATACGTGGGAGACGGGTGTGACGGAGGCAGAGTGTGAGAGATGCAGGTGTGAGATATGCAGGTGTGAGGGATGTATGGGATGCAGGTGTGAGGGAGGCGGGTGTGAGAGATGCAGGTGTGAGGGATGCATTGGATGCGGGCATAAGGGAGGTGGGTATGAGGGAGGCGGGTGTGAGAGATGCAGGGGTGAGGGATGCATTGGATGCGGGCATAAGGGAGGTGGGTATGAGGGAGGCGGGTGTGAGGGATACGTGGGAGACGGGTGTGACGGAGGCAGAGTGTGAGAGATGCAGGTGTGAGGGAGGCGGGTGTGAGGGATACATGGGACGCGAGTGTGAGGGAGGCGGGTGTGAGGGATACATGGGAGACGGGTGTGAGGGATGCGGGTGTGAGGGAGGCGGAGTGTGAGAGATGTGGGTGTGAGGGATGCATGGGATGCAGGTGTGAGGGAGGCGGGTGTGAGGGATACATGGGACGCGAGTGTGAGGGAGGCGGGTGTGAGGGATACATGGGAGACGGGTGTGAGGGATGCGGGTGTGAGGGATGCACTCTATGCCCGATGCACAGGGGAATGCCACGTGCCCTCTGATCCTTACATAGCTGTAGCCTCTCTGGCACCTTCCCCGCAGCGTGACGCAGGCTCTGAGGAGCCACAGCAGAGTCCTGAAGCAGAGGGCGAGTCTGGATGGACACCAGTTAGACGCAGGTCTGGCCTTTACTAACTGGATGGAGAGGGCCACACATACAACCCCAGGATGAGTCCCTGGCAACAGGCTGTGATGTGCCGCAGAGCAATCCCATACTCAGCTCACACAACCCAGCCCGCTCCTGGTGGGATGAGGAGGGCAGCACACCCCGACCTAGCCTACATCAGCGGCGGACTGCACTCTGTAGTGACAGGAGCCTTCTATTTCGCAGGGTTTCTTCCATTTGCCAGGGTAATGATCCGTGGACACAGGCCGACACAGAAAGCAGCCACGTCAGCAGCTATGCCCAAGCGATGCCTCCTCCAGTGCTCTGCAGCCCCTTCTCCTGGGGGAGACGGGGCCATAGCGCAGCGACTCTGGTTTAGCTCTGGGAGAGGAGAGGCCTCGGGCTGCCGCACTGGCAAAGTGACCCCATGTCCCAAAAGAATCTTCGTTAATACTTGCAGGCATCTAAGCGTTGGTGCTGACCCGTCTTCTGGGACCCATCCGAGCTGCGGGAGAGAAGCAAGCACAGACAGTTACGCTGATTAATCCAAAGTCCCATTAAAAAGAGCTCAGTTTCTTTGGCCCGAGACAAGGTGTTAATATTTGCTGGCATCCACTCGGCCGCGATATTGCAACACAACATGCCAGAAATGGAAGGAGCTCACCCCGGAGCTCTGAGCTGCACCCTGCCAGCACCAGGCACAGAAGGATGTTGCTGGGGGGCAGCCTGATTCGTAGCCGTCTCGTGACTGCCAAGGGGGATCTTAGCGAAGAGCTCCGATCTGAGGCACGAGGAGCAAGAATCTCTTGCCAGACGAGACATTCTTGTTGCTGGATTCGGACTTTCTCCTGCCTAAAGGAAGAGACTCAGGATATTAAGCATCACTCACTCTCCATTACTTTCCCCTTCTGGGATGTGATCACCTGATTCATTATCTCCAAAGGGGACAGCTGAGAGACTCTGGCCCAGTGTAAGGCTCCTCTGTTTAAGGGGGCTAACCTGCTGCTTCTCTTCACCCAGCTAGCTGGGAATTCAAGCCGTCCCTTTGGTCGTGGTTTTTTGATACAGCTAAAACTGAGCCCGGTCCTGAACTTAAGAGACGTTGAAGAAAGGAAATGGCAGGCAAAGGAAGGATGGTTCCATGGTTTGGACCTGCCTAGGATTTGAAGGACTTAGTTTCTGCTTTGCCACTGACATCCTGTGTGACCTGGGCAAGTCACTTAGTCTCTCTGCGCGTCCGTTCCCCATCTGTATTGTAAGCTACACACATGGAAGACTGTGAGGGGCAGGTGCTTAGAAACTAAGTGGTGAGGGGGCCATATAGAATCTCACAAATAAATGGCAGGAGTGACCTCAAGAGGTCATCTAATCTATCATCTCCCGCTGAGGCAGAATTAAGTACACCTAGACTGTCCCTGACAGGCGTCTCAATCCGCTCCCTGCACGGGTGACACAACCTCCCTAGGTAACCAGTTTCAGTGCTTAAGTATCCTTCTCGGCACTGTCAGAGGAAAGACCCTTTGCTAGTCTCCAGTGTGCCGCCCTGTCCTGAAATCCCACCCAAGGCTGTGAACAGGAATAATGCTGCTGTAGTTCCCTCCTGCTTCCACTAGCGCCTGCCTGCCTGACGCCTTCCAATGCCCTGGGCAGGTGTAACAACCGGCAGATGGCAAACCACAGAGCGATACAGCACACATCAAGGCAACGCACCCAGTGTCACTCGCCTGCCTTATCTCCTCTCCTGCCCTTGGGAAGCAGAAATGGTTCAGCAAGCAGCATTGGCTGATGCTGACTGGGGGCCATCAAGGGATGCCTACATTGGAGAGCAGCGCTGCCCTCCAGCCCTGGACGGAGCGAGTGGGTGGCCTGATTCCTGAATGGGCAGCCTTCGGGTGTGCTGTGTATAGCACAGGTCTGATGAAAAGCTTTGCCTGTCACGTCTGCACCCTGCCCGGGGCCCGAGGGGAATAAACATCATCCTTAGGACTGCAAAACGATTGCACCTCAGCCTGGAGCAGCAGCCAGTGGGGACTAGGCCTGTCTCTCCCGACACTGTATTTATTACTGTTCCGTGCTATATTTTTGCTAGGGTGCCCAGGCCTTTGGGTACGACGGTCTAGTACATTGCTGGAAGAGTCCTGTGATTATATTGCAGGGCTCTACAGAACGCCTTGGTTAGCATCCACCCCGCACATCCATTTACGGACTGCTTGGCAGGGGTAGGTCACTCGGACAGACTCACGGCCATGGTTGGTCTTTCCTTTCTGTTTGGCCATGGTTCCCCCCCCCCCCGTTTTCCCTTCCCTGGCTACAGTGGCCCACTTAGCACCCTGGACCTGTCTGAGCAGACACTACATAGATGCTCTTCAGTGCCTGATTCTCCACAGCTGACCAGAGAGAGGAAGCGCAGCCTGCCAGAGCCCCAGCTGGGGCGCCATACGAACCCGTCCCACAATGGTGCGCAGTGTATCAGCGTCCCTGCCTGTGGGTACGTGGCACAGGAGCGGTGCCGGCCCCAGGAGTGCGGCACATGGACGGCCCCGCCCCAGGGCGCATGTGCGGCCTCGGCACCCGGCACGTGAGTGGCCCCACCCCCAGGCACCCGGCAGCCCCTAAAGGTTGGGGACGACTGGATTAGAGCATCTTTATCCATCATGCTGTCATTTTAGACCCTTTAGAACCTGGGTCTGCATCTGTGAGGAGTGGGTACCAAGGTCTTTTTTTAATGAGGTGGTGGCCCCGGGCAGCACAATTTCACGCCCCTCCTCCTTTGACACGTTGCATGCACCATGGCGCCACGGCACATGCACAGGGCCTCTGGAAGCGCGGGGCCCGGGGCAGCCACCCTGCTCGCCCTGCCCTATATCCGTCGTTGGGTGGCGGTACTATGTGATCTCAACTTATGACCAGTACCAATTATTGTTCTGCACTTGGGCCTATTACCAGTTAGTGTTTTGCACTCTCAGCCCTGTTTGGGCCAAGTTCTGTCATCAGTGGCCTGCTCTTGCTCACAGCTTTACCTTTGCTTTAGCCTTGTTTTGTCCATTATTAGCTAGACCTCAGGCCTGACCAGGACTGTGCTACGTGGGCTTATGTTATAGGCCTTCATCTTACTACAAGCCCTGATGGGTTTTATGATTCCAAAAAAGAATAGAAAATGTAACTTCACCAACCCCCCTGTTGTACTAATGTAGACACATCCGCACTAGCCTGTCAGTTCCTGGAGGCAGGGATGTTCAGTTTGGACAGCACCAGGAAGGCTCATTTGGCTTCCTCGTTCCAGCTTCTGAGAAGGGACTAGCTGTTGCCATGTGGCTACTGCAGCGGTGAAAGGAAGCGGCAAGAGCTGGCTGAGCTGCGGCAAAAGCCGTGAGGGAGCTGGCAGAGACCTGGGTTGCAATAGCCTGTAAGAAATTTTAAGTTACTTTCATCGCTGGGCTACTGCCATTTCAGACTATCCTTATTTAGCACATAAACACCTGCCCGATTGTACTAGGCCCTGTCCGAACACAGAGGAGGGGGTATAGTTCCAGGCCCAACGTGCTCGCCATGGAAATAGGCAAAACAGGCGCAGAGCAAGCAAAATGACACTTGCTTAAGATCCCACAAGAAGTCAGGAGCAGAATCCTCCTTGTCTGATTCCCCAGCCACAGGCCTAACCACTAGACTGCACTGCCTCTCCCGGGGATAGAAAGGTGCTGTGATGGAACATTTCAGCTTCTCCTCTCCTCCACTGCAAGAAGCCCCTCAGTGGCTGAACAACGTATGAACGGCAGCAGCAGGCTCCCTCCCCCTTTCCTTTCCTGTTTGTTAAAACACACGCACTCCCTCTTCTTTCTCTCATTCAGTATCTAACGGAGCATCCAGCTTAGTGTGGCAGGGATTGTCAGTCACGCTCCCGGAGGAAGCTCCTCGCCCTGTAGGCTGGCATGTCAGACCGTTCCTCCGGGATAAAGCACATTCCAGGAGTCCAGTCGTCCACATGATTTTGTGTGTGTGTTTCGTTTTGTTTTCCAGGAGTTAGTTTTAGAGAGGTGCTTTAATTCTGCTTGCAATAGGTTGAGCCGCACGGAGAGAAAGTGGAAAGGACGGAGCCCCATCCCAACCAGCAATGAGACGGTAACACCAGGTACGTGGCTTTGTGTGCTTTCATTTCCGAATTCGGAGACTGCTCTTGCATTTGCCAGAAGGGCTCGTTCTTGGGGCATGGTGGAGATTTGGGATATTTTTCCCAGGGCAGAGTTTAAGCAGCAGCATCCCGGGGATTGATCTCAGGTGGTGGCGGCACTGAGAGATGGAATTAAGAAGGCGCATGCAAGCACCACTGACAGGAGTTTTGCAATGTTCCTGAGCAGAAGCAGGGAGCCTGGGGCCAGGATGCTCAGAGAGAAGAGGGGAAAGAAGGAGGGGTGCTGGGCAGGGAGGGAAGGGGAGATCTGTGGAAGTGATAGCAGGTGTAGATATAATGAGCTCCTGCCTAAGAAATTCTGCTCCCTCCTATAAATCTTTCCCTGCATCCTCTGATAGAAACCACCTTTCTACTGGCTTCCATTGTCATTTACATAGGAACATGCTTCTGCCATGCTGCTGTCACTCCCAGTGGCTCTGCTCAGTTAGCTGCGGAGGCTGGATGCACAGTGATAAGTCGGGGTTGCTCTCTTTCCTCCCTTGTTGCATATTGGTTTTAAGAGTGGTTGCGCCTCCCTGGGCTGGAATAGGCTCTTGGCCATCTGCTCCTCAGCTGTGTCGCACCAGAAGCCAAGTGCTTCCAACAGGTTGGGTGGGAGCAGGGTTGTTGTTTCTCTCTCCCACTTTCTCTTTGGGGGTTGTCTCCTCCATTATCTGCTGGGGGTCACCCCTCACTCCCGCCGCAGAATCAGGCCACACACTCCCCGACCCACAGCGGGACCCTGGCACACAACCAGCACCTCCCTTCTCTCACCTCCTGCAGTCCCCCAGAGCTGGTGCAGAGAAAAAAGCACGCCAGGAATCCACCTCCCCATGCCCAGCCAATCTTTGCCCCATGGCAACGTTGGAGGCAGTTCTGCTCCAGGCTTCCAGGTCCGTAAGGGGAATGCCAGCCCCTTTCTCATTCTCCACGGGGTTGGGGACAGCTAAGGGATGAAGCTGTTCCTTCCCCATTCCCTGCTGGGTCTTCTATGGGGGAGAATTAGCGAGGTGCATCCTTTGCAACCATTGCTCTCTATCCCCACCTATTGCTTCTTGACTTCTGATCCAAGTACCTGGGAGCTCCCTCAATGGACCATTTCCTGCAGAAACTTCTGCTCCTGGGAAGCGGCCTCACGTGAAAATGTGAACGCACCATGCTAGGAGCCTGCCGGTTCCCATGCGGAGACAGGAGTTCCTGGGATGACTCAACTCTGGACCCCGTCATTGCTTTGGGCTGTTTTAGTGCTATTGTCCCAGGCTTGGTTTAGCCTCTCTCCTCCAGCCAGGGGCTCAGTCCTGAAGTGACAAGGGACTGTGCTACTGCCTGGCTGGAGTGGCCTTTCCCAGAGCTTTCAGAGTCAAACTTGGGCCCTTCTGAGCACAGGAGGTGCCACAGGGCTGGGGAAGCAGCCGCCTGATGGCACTCTTGGATCCTCTGGCTTCAGGGTGTTGCTTCTCTTTCTGCCGCAGCCTGATTTCTCTAGATTTTCCTCTCTGTCCCCCATGCTCTCCTCTCTCCAGGAAGCCCTATCACGGGTCTATACAACATGGGGCTTTGTGTTCCTCCAAGATCAGATGATTCTCTCTGTCACATACACTCACCTCTTTCCACTAAAGACCTTCTGCTCCTGGCCAGTCTTGGAGCCAGGATGCTGGACGACATGGTTCAGGTGTCTGATCAGCTCTGGCAGTTCCTATGTCTAAGTGAGGACAGCAGAAACCTAGCCCATTTTTGCTACATACTTTTTGGAGGACAGAGAGGGGCTCAGACCCCAAGGTCCCCCTGTCGGGCGGGTCACAATGTGTCCCTGGTATTGCCCAGGGAAGGACATATCCAGCTCTTGCAGAGGCCTTGCTGTCTCTCCTCCCGTGGTCACCGTGAAGTCTGTCGGAAGCAGGCAAAGGGAGAGTTGGTTTAGTCCTTTCCAGGCATTGGTTCAGTCCAAGTCCTAAGTCAACTCTCTTTATTTGACCCGATGGATCAGTTTGGGTCTGAGCCCTCGGGGGAAAGGTCATAGCAGCAACAGGACCATTACCAGGTGCATGAACATAAGGGAGTTATTGGCAGCCCTTTGATTCCTCAGGCCTCAAGCCAGTTGCCAAAAGAGCAGCGCAATATTAATCAGATGGGAAGCAAGGAGAAGAGTCTGGCTCCAGGTCCCTCCCCTTCCTGCTTTAAACCTAATGGCGAGAGGCTTGTGACCCCAGAGGACCTTTGCTCTAAAGGCGGCCCTTCTCATTATCCTCTCTCTGCTCCCTTTGTCCCCTCTGGCTCAGAAACTGCTGG